GTAGATATGTCAATCCACTGTAATCATTCCAGACACTCTTATCGATGCACTTAAATTATTCCAAATGACTTATATGTTTTTGCTATATTTAATGGGCAAAATTCCCCACTGCTTCAACACAAGAAATTCAAACTCTCAAGTCAATGATATGTTATTGTGTCTTTTGGTGCACCAATCCATTAAGGTTCTGAAAGATAGGGACACTAATTTAAATTGTACGTTGTCCAGCTGATCTACAGGGAAATTAGAAATGAAAGTGCTGAATTATTTCATACACAGTTGTTTTTTACAGATCATTACTTAGCACAATGGGATATTTGCATCTTTAATTGACACATTGGGGGTCAATATCTGAGTTGGCTAGATAATTCTTCTGTGGTTCAGATTAATGTCAACAGCATGACTTTGGTTCCCGTCCTGGCTATGGTAGACTTAGTCCCTCACCCTGCCTGAGTATAGAAGACAATGGTAAATAACTACTGAAAATAGCTGTCAAGAAAACAGCTCAAGGTGAAGTGTCACAGGACAATGAGCCAAGGATTTGCCTTTAGGCACAGCACACACGACATGAATGGAAATGCTTAGTTTATGTGCTGACACTTGTATTCTTTAACCATCCAAAATCAATGAGCCAGTGTACTTATCAAACATCATGGCAGAAAAATTCAATATGGTGCAGTTCCAGGGGACACAGGGATCACAATGTGTGTTCATCTCCATCCCTGATCCATTGAGGCAATCACCACATAAACATCATGTCACCTAGCAGTACTCAGCCCAGTATTAAATATGCCACTGATCAACTATGCTTTCAACAGAGGTCCCAGCAGTATGTATGGATTCTACCTGCATAGAAGCAACTTGCCATTCATAAAGGATAGCTACAGTCATGGAGCAGAAGCACTGCAAGTGTGAGGATGGTAACGGACAATGGCAAAGCCATAATCCACAGTGACGTTGTGAGCGCTCAGTTTTTCAGAAGTGACTTTGGAGGGGCCTTAGCAGCTCTCCTTTCCACCTCACTTTGTTTCTTGGCTGTCTGAAATGTCGTCAAAGCATAAGAAGGGAATGGGAGCAAGTGGTCAGAGAGGTAAATTTCCATAGTCTGGCCTCAAGGAGCTATTCTGGAAAACGTTCAACAATTTTACACATGAGGTGAAAGTTTGTGAATATATTTTCAAAGTTCATATCCAATCCATTGTATAACCGAGCTCTCACACTGTACATCGCACCAGAATATCCCATCACTCACTCATCAGCCATCATGACACCAGCTGAATGTTCAGAGACTCAACCTCACCCTCTCACACGTATCAATGCAACTAATCTCACGCCCATCTCAGTTTCCACATATTGTTCAGCTATGACAGGTATATTAGAGAAACACACAGCAAGAGACTCACTGACATGCTTGATGGCACCTTCACCAATCTATCATCATGCTTACAATCAGTAAGGTTAATTTTTCTTGTTACAATTGGTTCTATACATTATTTGGTTAAATTAGCATTGAAAATGCATCTAACATTCAGAAAAATCTCTCAAAATGATTCTTTAACTTGAATTTATTGATAAATTTATGTCTTCTAATGGGATAAAATTTCTTTAAGGCAATGTTATGATCAATTTTTAGACTGGGCAGTACGCATTTTACTCCTATCTCTTTGCTGTAGGCCATTTCCTGAAAGGGCCAAGGAACAACTCATCAGAATAATTCAACACACTGAAGAAAATTTTGTGAACTTTTTATTATCAAGAAAATGGTATCTTATGAATAATGACTCTTAGTAACAATAAATGTCCATTGTGAAAATTAATCACAAACTGTTATGTCGTCCATTTTGTGAGCATTTATGTTTAAAATGTAATATGTGTTTTTATTTTTGGTTTGATTGACACGATTGAAATAATGAATCATGGCATAATGACTTATAACATCTCATACTAACCTGTAAACACTCCTACAGGTATCAAATTTGGTCACTGACTGTTTATATTTAAACCCTCACCCTATAACATATTACTATTCCTACTCCCCTTGTTTGAGATTAAGAAAAACAAATTTGTCAAGTGCACAAGGAAGGATAAAGAGGAGCAACTGAAATGTGGTGCATTTCAATTTGTTGTAGTAGGACCTCAGTATTTTTAATTTATAATTTTATTCAAAGCATAAATTGGCTGTCCAGCAATCATGTAAGAATAGGTTGTTAATTGCATAAAAATATTTTATTAACATTTTAATTTTATTTAGAATGAGATGACAGAATGCCAAGTTAAATTTGCAGTGGTTGAAACACATTTTGTGGATCAAAAGACCGCAATGTACGCGAGCAGTTAAATTTAACAGCCACAATTCTCATATTTCAGAGAAAAAATATAAATCAATTGATAAATGATAGCAATTTGGAATGATTTCTTTCTTGATCCTTACTTAAAACATTTCATATAGGTGGGAATGGACAATGACATTTGATTTTAATATCACTGCGTGTGAAGAAAAATCAACCAGCATTCCTGTTTAAAATAAATTGAGTTATTGTTCAAAACTTTGAAAAAGAACAGGACATTAAGCAACTGCAGATCATTTTTAGTATGACATTATTCTCTTCATTGTTTCTGACATGAAACGAGTCTCACAACTGAATCTTTGGCACATTTATTTTGAGTTGATTGTAAGCACAAGTGCTCTACCTCACTGGTAATGCAGTGAGATGTGTGCTTGGCTAACATCACACTGAAATTCTAAATTTCTGCAACAAATCCTGTACTTCCTGGATATTAATGATGTGATTTTTTTAAAACCACTGGGAGGCACTAACAGTGAATACATTTCTCTGTGTTGCTGATTAGAGTAACAGCAAAACATTTTTTTAAATTTCTTTGTTGTCTTACCAAAATAATGTTTGTCAATTTGAAAATGTTTATGCCGTCAATCCATTAATTGCCCAATGTACTGATAATTTACAGATCTCTTCTCAAATGCTGTTTTGGTACATAACAGTCAAAGCACTATTGTGGTTCCTGTTACGCAAAATTGTGAATTAAATGAAGCATTTAGATTCCAAGGCTACTTTTTTTTTGATTTCCACAATGACTCACTCTGATTCCTGAAAATCAGCATTGATTTCAAGCAAAATTTGAAATACCAATAAGTTAACAGCCACCTGTTCGATCAAAGGCAAGCTTGCCATCTATGTGAAGTCCTTTGCAAGTTCCCTCCTACAGGCATTAGTGGCAAGCTGTCTGAAAGCTAATATTTCTTAGCTCAATAATATAACCTTCTGAACCAAGCTGATAGTCTCAGACCTGATTGCAATGTACCATGATATTTCAGTTGAATAGATCTTTTCAATTGTTTTGTAGTACATATCTGCACTAAAGCAATGCTTGTGAAAACTTAAGATGTCTAATTTCTCAGAAAAAAATACCTAGAGTAAGACAAGGATTTTCCAATTAATTATGATTACCATTTCCTCCCAGCCTTTACAGGTCATTGGAGTAGCTCAAAAGAAGAGAGGCAAATACTTCATCAGCATAGGCACTCAAGCTTTCAGATGTTAAGGAGAATAGGATCAGAGGGAACAAACATTCCTTTCATGGGGTGGGAAGCCAATAAAATTCACACGTTATGCTTTTTATATTGTTTGTACAAAACATGTCTTGCCATCTAGAACTCTGTTGTCCTGTAATAGACTGGTTAATTGAGTGCTCATCTTTTCAAACGATCTTAAAACATTTCGTTGTTACTGAAAAAGGAATCTTCAGCGTCTCTGCACCGTGAACTGTACCCAGCTCAGGAGAAAAATAAATTGGCGTGCAAACACAAAAGATACGATTCCATTACATACTTAACGACCACTTCACTTCTGCCTCCACAGTTGCAAAGCAACAAGCAGATACTCACCAACTCCCTAACAAGCCGATCTTGACTAATCATATAGTCTGCAGAATAGGAATAGTAGTGGCTGAATGCAGAACAGAAGTAAATCCAGCTTTTTTTTAAATTGCCCAGCAGTAGTTTGTTCATAAACCTTCTCCACCTGAAAGCTTTCCTTTAATACGTCAAGGAAAATACACAAAAACAAAAAAATCACTATAATGAAGCTTAAAACATACATATTCGATGCAGAGAACGTTGATGTTTTGGTTGAAAAGCAAAAGGTACCCAGATTAAAACCTGTGAGCAACTGAGGGAAAATGGCAACATGATTGAATACAAAAAAATATAATAAATTGGTTATTATTTCATCGCACTTCACTCAAAGGGATTGGCAAACTCAGGAATTCTGCGCGTTTGTCCAGTCCATCTCTTTCCCCCTCCTTCCAGCCTCTTATTATTTGACACAATGAACTAAGAAGTAACTTTGCTACGAGACCTTGAAAAGAATGACAGCGGGGTGGTGGTGGGATCTGAATAATTGATCTGTACTGAATCCATTTAAAAAAAATGTGACCAAACATGGATGTTTATCCAAGCAGCAACATTCTACCAGCCAGCTACTAATGACTAAAATGTGCAGCAGCTTCATAAATTGTAGGCTTTTATTTTCCATAAAGCATTGTACGTTTAATACAGCCATAGGACATGATCCGATAGTTTAGCAGCATAGTTGTTTTCTAGCCAGAGATTTAAAAAATGACTGCATCGATGTTGAAAATTAATTGGTTTTATTAGAATACAGTTTGTGAACAAAACTAGCCGTCTTTATAAAACACTAACTTTCTGACTCATGACCTATTCAGAGGGCATACTACAGAGTTGAGACGCTGCAGTAAAACCTGCAGGAGATGCTTGTATAAAATGAAAGAACTTCCTACCCTCGTTAAAAAGAAGAACAAGCAAATCTTACTTGGCATACTGCACATAGTTTGATTGTGAGCATTTTGAGAAAGATGCACATAAATCACTCTGCCATAGGAATGTGTAACGGTATACGGCACCATAACACAACGTGTTCTTTGCAGCTACAGCTCAGAGACAATACTGTTGATCAGCTTACCATCCTGAAAGCATTGACTATCCCACAGCCATCCTGCAGTCGATCACAATGCTTCCCCCTTATGTCATTCTGCACAAAACTGTGCTTAAAGCGGGAACAAATCAGTCAACAACTACGCGTAGAAGGTCCAGATCCTTTATAGGCATTAAGTGATCCTCGCACTTGAACATTCAGCTGAATCCAGGCTTCACATACACTCATCAGCTAAATGAATGGGAGGCAGCAGCCAATCCCCGCATGCTTGGAAATGACAAGCACACATGTAGTCTAATGTTGGGCTGTACCAAGAAAGAAAGGCGACGGGGGTTGGCATTGGGCTAATCGTTTCGCAAATGTCGCTTCTGAAAGAAAATTACGTTAAGCTTATCACACATGCCAAATTGGCACTGAGAATTTTTTTTCTCCTTCCCATCAGTTGTATCAGTGATGGCACTTTAATAAATTGCTGCAGGGTTAATGCAGTTTAAAGACCCCGCTGAGCCATGGTTATTGTGTTATGCTCAGCAGTCTCAGAAGAATAGTTTTGCAAATCTATGGTCTCAAAGAAGCAACATAAAAGTAGTCTCAGAAGACATTAGTAAAATCAGTACTGTTGCTTCAGTGACATGATTAGTCCCATAATCCGTTTTATGAGTTGATATTGCCTACTTCTGTCTCGATATTTAACTGTTTTAACCTTTCAACAAAATTATACTAATCCCAGTTGTTAATCATGCATTTGTCACTTCAAATGCACGTACGGTACCTTTGTGAAGGTTAATTAAAAGGAACACTCGCACTTGGTGAAAGAGCTTGCCGAGCATGTTTTTGCTGGCTTTGTAGTCAGAGGTGAGCACCTCTACAGAATCGGTGATTCGAAAATCTGTGCTAACAATCACATCTGTTCCCACACAGTGAAAGTTGAATTATAAACAGTGGGGGAAATACTTATATTGCAAAAGGTCACACTGCATTAGGTTTACATCTACTGCTGTGCCAGGCTACTCAACTAACCAGTTTGGCAGACCGGCAGCTGAGTGTTAAAGAATGGCCTCTTCCTTTGCTTGAGAACAACATTCCTTTAAGAAAATCTGGAAGTTAATACATCTTGACTGCTTTCAAGCTTGTAAAAAGAAAGCTCCATCACAGATTATTCTGATTGCTTCACATCATTTATGACTGTTGGCTGTAAATGTCTGGCATATGGAGCTTGTAGAGACAGGCGCTAGACTAGTGCTTGTGTTGTTTTTATTGTGCTATTGCTGTTTGAGCGTAAATAGGTTTAAAATTCCGAAGGAAATCATTTTTGTTCCTTTTATTGATCTTGATAGAATATTGAACCTCGGGTATATATTGTCCATTGAGTAGTTTTTTTTAAACTCTGTTTTCATAATGAAAACACATCAGGTGCATGAACTGTATCAAACTGTAGCCGAAAAGTTTCTATTCTCTCGGAGTTTGTAGTATGTAGCCTTGCGACCAAGAATGAAATTAGCTGAATTTCAGTGTGATCCATGTATTATCTTTCCGGCTAATCTCACACGGGATTTAGTTTTCTGGGACTGCCTGTGTACGCTGGAGTGAAAAGTTAAACAATCTTTCAAATGTAAAACTACTGGATTGAACTGGAGAATAGGTTCAGTTAATGAAGGGTTTGGATACGGTCTTTCAGTGTGTGTTAGGGGTAGTAAAGGGAGAGAAACGGACGAGGTGGGGGTTGGGGTTGGGGAAAATCTGGCTGTTTCTCAAAGAGTTCCTTTCAGAGCTGTTTCTACACCAAGGTTTACTCTATCCAGAACTCCGCTTTCGATCTGGAAGATCCCAGAATAAACCTCACTTCTTTAATTTAATAAAGGCTTTAACAGGGTTATTTCATTCAATTTGCTGGAAATTCCTATTCTCAAATCTAGTTGCAAGTCTTCATTTTTTGATGGGGGAAGGGAAGGAAAGTTGAGATCTTCATCCAGCAGGGTAAAGGGAACAAAATGTTTGCCAACTGTGTAAACAGTGTAATCTGCAGCTGTCCATATGACACTTATCCTTACTAATTCTCCTTTTGTGCAAATTCCAATGGCATTTCTTGATTTAAAAAATCAGGGTATTAATCCTCAGAAAAGAAGAAATAATTTTATTGGGTAAAATATTGCATCCAATGAGCTTGTGAAGATAGCATTATTATTGTTTTGTAGTCTTAGCTAATTCTAGATTGACAGCAGGGTCACAAGATTTCCATGAGATAATTTTCCTAATCCTGTTCTCTATCAAATAATGATTTATTTTTAGATTACTTAAAGAAATGAAACACTGTAAACTGCAACTACATTTGTACCTTTATTCTAAAAAAAATCACAACTAATTGCTGAGGAACTTACAACAACAAAAGATTTGCCTGCTGCACCTTAGTAAAGGAAACAATGCATCAGCAACTGCTAAAGAGAGGCAGATACAGATTCAGAACTAACCTCTCTAGCTCAAAGAGGGGGAATATTGGTTGAAAATACCAATGAATCTTTTTAGCTCAGAAAGGCAGGCAAATTAAGTAATAACAGTTCAGTGACAGACATCCACTATGGTATTACCTAAGTATGAAATTTAGAGTCAAAGTTGTAAATCAGGCTGCCACTGTTGGGAAAATGGTTGAAAATATTTGAATGATTTAGAATCCCTACAGTGTGGAACCAGGCCATTCAGTCCACATCAACATTCTGAAGAGCATTCCACCCAGACACACCTGCTACCCTATCCTTGTAACCTTGCATTCTCCATGGCTAATCCACCTAACTAACACACCCATGGTCACTATAGGCAATTTAACATGGCCTCTCCACCTAACCTGCACATCTTTGGACTGTGGGAGGAAATCCATACAGACAGAGGGAAAATGCACAAACTCCATACAGACAATCACCCAAGTGTGGAATTGAACCAGGGTCCCTGGTGCTCTGATACAGCAGTGCTAACCACTGAGCCACCAGGTTGCCCCTTATATAGTGGCCTTGGAAAAAGTTCAAATGAATTCTAATTGAAAGAACCACAGCTACTCAAAAGTATTTCAAGGATCTCGAGCAGCGTATCTATAAAAAGGAATGCAAAGCATATCTTTTGATAGTTTAAATTTATGTTTCCTGGTCCTCCTCAATCTGATAAACTGGAATAAACTATGTGAGAGGTGTTGGGGTAATCAGTGAGTGATGGTCCTCTGCAATATTTTGCAAGTTGTTATTTGGCAGGTGATAACTGCATTCCTTCCAGAGGGATCTGAATTGCTTCTTGAATGGAGCAGAGATCACATCATATGGAGAGTAAATATTTTTACAGACCAGACCTAGCCCAGGTGATTTCCTGCAAGTTTCAATTGCCTGGTTTAGATGCAGGGAAATTTTTCAGATAGATTTTTATTCCTTAGTGATGTTTTTCACTCTCTCTGAGGAGATTGCAAGGCAATGAAGACACACATGCAGGGGGTGACTCAGCTGCAGTTCATTGGTACCACATTTACCCCTGTGTTTTGAATTCTTTCCAGAGCTCAAGTACCTAGGCTAACTCTCCAGTGCAGCTCTGTGGAAGTGCTGCACTATCAGCGGTGTTATATTTCAGATAATAACTTTGAATAATGGCACTGTCTGCCCTCTCAGGTGGACGGAATGGAATCCTATATATTTTGAATTGAAGCTTGTGAGTTATGCCTGATGTCCTTGGTCATGATCACATTGCTGTTTGCCAGCACTTGCTTTTTTAATTCACTTGTGGGGCTTGGGCATAACTGGCTGGCCAGCATCTATTGCCTGTCCCTAGTTGCCCTTGAGAAGGTGTTGCTGGGCTGCCTCCTTGAACTGGCAGTCCACATGTTGAATGTCAACTCACAATGCCCTTACGGAGGGAATTCCAGGATTTGGACCTAGCAACAGCGAAGGAACAGCAATATATTTCCAAGACAAGGTGGTGAATGGGTTGGAGGGCAACTCGCAGGTGGTGGTGTTCCTATGTAAGTGCTGGGCTTGTCCTTCTAGATGAAAGTGGTCATAGGCTTGGAAGGTGCTTTCTGAGGATCTTTGATGAATTCCTACAGTATATCTTGTAGATAGTGCACACTGATGCTACTGAACATCAGTGGTGGAGGGAATGGATGCTTGTGGATGTGATACCAATCAAGTGGGCTGCTTTGTCCTGGATGGTGCCATGCTTCTTCAGTGGGGAGTATTCCATGATACTCCTGACTTGTGCCTTGTAGATGATGGACAGGATTTAGGGAGTCAGGAGGTGAGTTACTCGCCACGGTATTCCTCACCTCTCATCTTCTGTTGTAGCCACTGTGTTTATGTGGCAAATCCAGTCGAGTTTCTGTTCAATGTTAACTCCCAGGATGTTGATACTGGGGGTTCAGTGAAGGCAATGCATTGAATGTCAAGGGGTGGTGGTTAGATTGTTTCTGATTGGAGATGGTCATTGCCTGGCATTTTTGTGGCATCAGTGTTACTGACTACTTGCACATGGACTGCTTCAATGTCTGAGGAGTCACGAATGGTGCTGAACATTATGCAATCATCAGTGATCATCCCCACTTCTGACCTTATGATGGAGGGAAGGTCATTGATGAAGCAGCTGAAGATGGTTGGACTTAGGACACTATTTTGAGGAACTCCTGCAAGATGTGCCGGAGCTGAGGTGACTGACCTCCAACAATGACAACCATGTTCCTACATATCAAGTATGACTCCAACTAGTGAAAAGTTTGCCCCCGATACCCATTGATTCCAATTTAACTAGGGCTCCTTGATGCCACACTCAATCGAATGTAGCCTTGATATCAAGGACTGTCACTCGCACGTCATCTCTATAATTCAGTTCTTTTGTCCACATTTAAATCAAACCTGTAATGGAGTCAGGAGCTGAGTGGACCTGGCAGAACCCAAACAGGGGGCCACTGAGCAGATTATTGCTGAGTAGGTGCTGTTTGATAGCACGGTTGATGACACCTTCCTTACTTTGCTGATGATTGAGAGAAGACAGATGGGGCAGTAATTGATCGGGTTGGATTTGTCCTGTTTTTCATATACAAGACATACTTGGGCAATTTTTCACATTACCAGGTAGATGCCAGTGTAGTAACTGT